AAGACTCGAAAAGTTCTATTAAGCCCACTTCTTAGACAAGTCACAACAAGTCTGTTAATGTAGCTTCCAGTTTTCTCATTCACCTGAGTCCATAGAAGTACTATTTAAGTACTAAACTGCCAACAAATCTATGATATTGAGCAAAAAGGAAGGTGTGCAGAGAAAGAAGAAACAAAGCTAACTATGACGCAATAGACAAATATGATTCTTGGAAACTCAATAGGGCTACCTGTGTGTATGAAAACGAAACCAGTCTCGAATTACCAAGCCATCGTAACCCTCTCACTGTACTATTATGAACTGAAAAACTTGCAGCAACTGCGTTGGCAGAGACATCGATGACATCAATTGTCCCACTTTGACTACCCAAAGCAACAAGTGGAACAGTTACTGCAGGATTATCTCCCCCACCTTCACATAATATAGTGTGATTAACCATCAACATGAGAAAGTTCAACAGAAACGGAAATTCAGGAAACAGATTGAGGTGGAACTAACGAGACAAAGTAGCTGTTAAAGAAGAGGATGGTACTGCCAGCATGGTCACTGTTGAAGAAAGAACCTGAAGTTGTCCAACTAAGCTAATCTGCAGTAATGAACGATTTGGCATGTAAGTAGACAAGAATAACACAAAGAATCTGTACTAATGCAAAAGAAAAGGAAATTGTTTATCAGTAATAAATGTTATTCATTTCATTCCCAAAAACAACTAAAAGGGAGAAAACTATAAGCTTCCATCTGAGCACCAAAGTATTCTTGATAAAAAAGAGACATTCAAGGAATATTGTACTAAAATAAAATAAAATAAAGAAGTTATGCCAACAAAGGTTCATCCGACAAAGAAACCCATGATTTACAGATCACAAAACCTAAAATATCTGGCAAGCAATAAGCTTGCAGGTAAAATACCACTTCTTCCATTTCCCATGGATTTCAAGTGTATCTTCCATGCGGTTCAAATATGCAGTAGTTACACTGATCTCATGACATCATTTTCCAACCTTAACTTTTGACTAAGCATAAAAAGTAGGTTTGATTTTTCTAACAATCTGAAAGATAAATATTCTGCAGCAGAAAGTGGATAAGCAGTTCATTGAGGGTTTATAATAAATAAAATGCTAAACCCAAGGAAGGGCCAGAAGTGTACTATAATAATTAACATCATGTTCTTGTCCTATATAAGTTCAATACAACATCTGAGTGTCTGACCAGTACTGTGAATCCCAACCCAGCAAATTAACTTATGTTACGATCACTTCATTTTATCACACTTGCTGTCAATTCCACTTGACTAATCAATCTAGAACTCATGAGGAAAAAGGCAAAATATGTTATAAATCTACAAGCTCATTGAACCAGCAAAATTTTGTCAAGTTTATACTTGTCAGGTTCATATCTAAGCTTCCATACACGTGTTAGAGTTTTCGCTATCCTTTGTATAGATTCCCACACATAAACAAATGGGGTTGAACAAAAAATATGAGTGGATGGTTAGGAGCACCAAAATACATAAAGGATCTGTAATGGAGATTATGTAAATTATATCAAAAGAGACTTCTGGCGGGCAAAACTTTCGAGATAATGTTCTGAAAGAAATTAATTCACGAGCTAATGCACTCCCAAAATTAATTGCTCAAATAGGGTGAAATCCACAGTGTTAGCCGTAGGTCGCCATGCACTCCGGGCGACCTACTAGGTCGCCATGTCTTCCCGGCGACCTACAAGAGATTACATGTTCTATGCACGTCCCAACACGCTGGGCATCCAAGGCTATCCGACCGAGGCCATCCGAACGAGCTATGCGAGGGCATCCGAGGGCAACCGAGCGAGATATGCGAGGGAATCCGAGGGCAACCGAGCGAGGGTAGGTCGCCCAGGTCGCCATGTACTCCGGGCGACCTACCCTCGCTCGGTTGCCCTTGGATTCCCTCGCATAGCTCGTTCAGATGGCATCGGTCGGATGGCCTCGAATGCTCTCGGATGCTTTCGGATGGCCTCGGTCGGATGGCCTCGGATGCCCAGCGTGTTGGGACGTGCATGACACATGCAATCTCTTGTAGCTCGCCGAGAAGACATGGCGACCTACGGCCAACACTATGGATTTCACCTTATTTGAGCAATTAATCTTGGGAGTGCTTTATCTCGTGAATTAATTTTTTCCAGAACATTATTTCGAAAGTTTTGCCCTTCTGGCGAAGTTAAGAATTTATTTGAAAACCTTAAATGTCACATCAGCAAAGCCAAAAGTGGAGTTTGGCCGCTGAATTCTGCTACCATTTATGTTGTCCAACTGCCTTCTGCCTTTTGCAGCAAGTCCATCCTTAGAAGGCATTAAGTTGGTTGTATTAGTTGAATCATCAGAGACATCAGCAGCAATATTTCCAGAATTTCTAACATCTTTCTCCTTAACTCCATTCTCTTCAGCAGTCAAGATCCAGCTCCATAGTTTGCCATCATCAGAGATGGATATAATACGTGTCTTAGCAACCAGAAGAGTATCATCACAAAATTCAAAAGGATTATCAAAATCCACATCAGATGCATCTTTCGATGAATCTGAATAAAGCTTGCTAATATTCTGAAGTGTCGACTCTGATTGGCTGAGAAGGACTGCAAGAAGTGATGGTGAAGGGACAGATGAGCCAATTGATGGCATCAACTCCTCCATTGTGCACATTACATGTATCTGTTCTCCTCTGTAATAATACCCAAATGAGAGTGTTCCCATAAAGGCGAATTTGGGAATTTAAATATAACTTCTTTGGCAGCAAAATAATAAGTAACTCCATAAAACAAAATATTTATAGATGACGTGATAAAATGTGAAAATTTGATCTGATGCTTCAACAGCTTTAGTTGGTTGCCAATATGATTTTATCTCTACAAGATAACAAACTAATAAATAGCTTCATATGACTAAAGTAGTGGATATGTAGTTCATAAGTTGAAGAGAACCATATCATAGTTCAACCAATGAGATGGATTTTAAATGACTTTCAACATTCATCAACTAAAATGATTTTATGTACAGGAAGCTGAAAATCTCTCACTATATCAGAACTTAAAAGGATATTTTGAAGTCTTTCCAAGTGTTTTACATTGCCTGGTTCTCAATTCAAAACCTTATCCGTCTCCTTTCTTAATTTAGTAACATATTAACATTACGGTTCCTTAAATAACCCAAAGCGCTATGCATTGTAGGAGCTTATTTGATCGTATCAAGTTTAAATTTGCATGAGGGCATATATTGCACGAATAAGATGAAAATGGAAAATGCTTACTCTTTTCTTCGCCAGATGCTGATCTTCCCATCAAGATGGGCACAATAGACCAACTCCTGACTCGGATCAGGCAATACATCAAGAAACTTGGCGCACCCGCGTGGCAATGCGGCAGAAAAAAGCGTTGTGTCATATTTCAAATCAAAAACCACCAGCTCCTTAGGAAACGTCACATAAATGACGTTCTTCCAGTGCGGCGAAAATGCCAAACGAACCGCATATAGCGGGAAAACAGCAGACACTGGAGAATCGGAAGAAGAAGAACTTCCTCCAGCAGCAGTAGCAGCAGCAGCATCCTTTTCAAGCTTAAGTAACTCGGTACAATCAGTTGGAATCTGGAGTTCCTTGAGCCCAATTTCATCTTCTCTTTCTCCCAATACTTTGATCGACAGAAGAAACCCTTTAAGTCCAACGACACACAAATGGCGAGAGTCGAAAGGATCGCGGCAGATACACGATAGATATTGGGGTGAAGCGTCGTATTTGAAGATGCACCGAGAAGATGAAGTATCGTAAAGGGAAAGATAAGAAGGACCAGAGAGAGCAGCGAGGTGGAAAGAATCGGACCGTGCCTGCACCCAACAAAGATCCTGGACACCTGATTTAGAAAAAGGATCGGGAGGATCAATAGAAAGAATGAGAGAACGGAGGCGAAAATCGAGGAGAACTATACGACCGTGGCGGTCGGCGGCGGCTAAGATGAGATGAGAAGAGGAAGGTTCGGTGGAGAGGAGGTCGCGGCAAAGAGAGAGAGGGGTCCAGCGTACGGAAGTGACGAAAGGGGAGAGAGAAGAGGAAGGAGGAGGCAGAGGAATGGTGGCGACGAGCTGGAGGGAACGGGAGTCGACAACGGAAACGGAAGAGCCGGAGGCGAAAGCGAGGAGACCGGAGGCGTTTAGATCGGCAGATCCGAAGTTGTTGCGACTGGGTGGACCGGGGAGTGTGGTATCCCAGGAGTCGTTGGGTAACGGTCGAGTGATCGGGACCGACATTTTCGGGAAAACAGAGCAAATTTCGGGATTTCAGTTTTGACTGTCCTAATGCGAAGGCGAAGGGAAAGGGGAAGGGAACATCGAGTTTACTTCAACCTGAAATGCCCACTCCATCGTTACTCTGTCTCACTATATGGGGCTACGGGTTAATGCTATGGTGACACTTGTAGTGAATTACACCTATAAACACTTAATTATTCAACAACATAATTTGATCATCCATTTTTTAATTTTATCAAACAAATCATTTAATTATTTAGATAATGTTAATTAAATCATCATCCATTAAAAAAAGTTAAAAAATTATTATAATTACACATTTGATTCTAGTTACTTGCATATTTATCAACTTAATCATAATTTATTAAATTAAATTAAAATTATGATCAAATTGATATAAAATATAAATAACATTGATCAAATGTGTAATTATATCAAATATTTTAAATGACATATCATTGTCTCTCAACAATTAGTGTCTTGATTGACATTATTTAATTAATTAAGTGCTTTTTTTGATAAAATTAAAAGACAGATGGTCTAATTAAAAAAAATTGGATAAGTAAAAAAAATTATTCATCCAAAAGAGTGCAGACTAGCTGCTATAAACTTAATCCGCCAAACAATTACACCAAACCCCAATATATACACAACTGCTTATTTACTGCATCTAGTTTATTCATATGGCACCTATATATTTTAATACTTACAGCTTTTTTAATTCTACTTACAATGGTTTCGATCGAACGAGTCGTACCTCTGAAGAGCATGTGGTTACGCTCCTCCCAGATGAAGTAAATGAACCAGACCAGGCCAGCTTAAGGATATGAACCAGTAGAGACTTCCCTTTAAGGTTCAACAGCAACCAGCAAACGAGATCATTCCAGCATAAAGGCTCCTGGCTAAGTCCACAAGCATTCAAGATAGTATGCCAAACTCCCATAGCAAAGGCACAATCAGAAAAAATGTGATCACGAGACTCAAAACCAGATCTGCACAATCCACAGCCACTATCAACAGCTATACCAAACCTTGCGAGCCTGTCCTTAGTTGGCAATCTGTCCAGTATTGCCATCCAAGAAATCAGTGAGAATTTTGGAATATGGCCAGGAAACCATACAAGCCGATGCCAACTAACCTTCTCACCTCTGCAGCGAATATTATCCCAAATCCAACTAGCATTAATTTGAGTCCAGTTCCTTATAGAGCAAAATAATCTACTAGCTTCACTCCTCAGCTTAAACATTTTAGCTAAGATCCAGTTAAAGTGAGCCCTGTAATCAGCATGCCAGAAATCCACTGATCTAAAGCAATAAGCGTTCACCCAAGCAATCCAAAGGGAACCTTCCCCTACCAAAATCTTCTTTATAACAACATGCTTTACTCCAATCTGTCAAGCTCCTTAAACCCAAGCCTCCCTCAGATTTTAAGGAGCATACCTGTTTCCAGCTTACCCGTGCCCCTCTAGCTGAGGAATCACTCCCTATCCAGAAGAACCTCATGCACAACTTCTCAACATCCCTTATGACTCCCTTAGGCAAAATAAGTTGTCTGCTCCAATAACTAAAAATACTAAATAGGACAGATTTAATGAGTTGCAGTCTGCCCCCAAAGCTCAGTCTCTTATTGGATCATTTACTCAATTTTTCCTTAACTTTAGTTACCAAAGCAGTACAATCTTTACCAGTGAGCTTCCTGGTAACCAAGGGTACACCAAGGTACCTAACAGGGAGATTCCCATGTAACATCCTCCATACTGAGTTAGTGATTAAATTGTGAAATTTTAAAATTTAGTGACCAAAGTAGATAAATTAAATAGTTGGAAGATTTAATGGGAATGTTTTATGTAGGATGGATAAGCAAAGAAGGGAAATTAAGAGGGCAAATGAGTCTTTTAGCAAAATAAATAATTAAATATTACTTAAGGTTATTTAATAAACCACGTGGAAGTTAGAAGAAAAGGCAAAAGCTTCCAAATTTCTCTTCTTCTTCTTCTTCTTCTTTCTTCTTCCCCGTGAGACCAAGCTAAAGGTGAGTTTTCTTGTTAATCAAATTCTTGATGAATTTAAGGTTGCTTATTGATCATTGGATGATAACTAAACTTAAGGAAGCTTATATTATCTTAAAACAATAAGATGAGGAGTATATGAAGAATTAAAGAAAGGAAGTAAAAAAGTAAAATCTTGGAATAGAGTTCATAATAAGAATTAGAAGTGGGATTTGACTTTTCATCAAGCTAATTAAAGGACATGAAGTGTTAGAATTAAAATTTGAACATGTTAGAATTTGAGTGAGATTCTTAGATTCCATATAGAAGATTGGATTTCTAAGTTTTAGAAAATGGAATGACTAATAATTAGTTTAAATAAGAGTATGCAAGTTAGGGATATAAAAGGAGGTGAAATATAAAGTGTAGAGAAGATTATAAAGAGATTTTCGTGCTTAAAATGACATTTATGGGCTATGTGCATCGATGAATGTGCACCGATGCATCAAGGATAAATCCCAGAAATTGTTCAAGGTGTATCGATGCACATGAAGTGCATCGATGCACTCTTTTTAAATACAAACATCGAATGCCATCGATGCATAAGGAGTGCATCGATACACTTCCTTAAATATAAACATCGAATAGGATTTATGCATCGATGCATGGTATGGTGCATCGATGCATACCTTCATTAAAAGATGAAAATGGCTTTTCTTTTAGCCCAAGAAATGATAGTTAGAATACATTCATTAGTATACTGATTAGCATCAATGAATTACTCTGTAGATACCGAGCCTAAACAAGTTCCAGAACAATTACCTCGTAGATCGATCGAGGAAAAAGTAAGGAAATATAGGTGAGTGCATATGCATAGCATGAATATGTATTTTATTCAGTTCTAGACTTGTGATAAGTCTAGATTCAATATTTTGATACATGATCGCATTTCATATTATGATACATGATATCAATTCATATTATATGCATTAAGTGACATGAATATGCAAGAAAGGTTATATAAGCCATGTGATAAGGTGATGGAACATGATATGTTTATGTGATAAAGATATGGAAATTATATGTCTATACAATATAAATTATGGAAATGGTGGAAGCCCATGTTATGTAGATAAGAACTATAGGTATAGTTGGCATGCCAAGAGTAGAGGGTCTACGCGGTCCTTCGGGACATATATGTATTCTTTGGAACATGTGTGAGGTCTTTTAAGACACATACTTGATCCTTGGCATATGTATATGATTCTTAAGGAATTATCTACGTGGTCCTTAGGGATAATCTTATATGGCACTACGGTACAATTCTATGCGGCACTTCGGTGCAATTCTACGTAGCACTTCAGTGCGTTTATATGAGCTGTGGTGACAGCATAGTGCACAACCTCACAGTACTCACATACCTTAGGTTCTCAGTATGGTATCATGGGCCAATAATCTTATTAATATGAATTCATGAATGTCAATATATTATGCTGACATGTAAAGAACACGGTGATATAAACTACATGGTTAAGCATTTGATTTTCATCTCATTCCATTTAATTATGGCATTTCCATTACATTTCTTTGTTATCATTATTATTATATTGTCTCACTAAGTTGATGACTTAGCGTGTGAGTGTTTCACACGTAGGATCCGAGATAGTAGACGATCAAGGTTAAGCAGCTGGACAATATTACTCCTGCAACTATCAGATCAGAGAGAACCTGAGCAGTAGGTTCTTTTGTTATGTAAATGAATGTTGGCATGTAATCAAAGTGTCAGGTGGTGTATGCTCTGATTATTTTGATAAACTTGTATTAACATATGTATATTATTGTATTTTAATAATATAAGTTCAAATGTTTTATCGGTTTTTTTAGAGTATTGTTTTGTTTAGTTAATATGACATCCTGGACTCATATCCGGGTCAGGTATGGGTTGAGGGTGTTACATTTAATGGTATAAGAGCTATGGTTTAGCCTATTCTAGGCATAAACCAGAGTCTATAGAGTCTTAAATGGAATACATGCCAACAAATAGTGAGAACTTCTGATCTGGTATAGTATGAGTATGTTATTTTGCTAATAGAACAATGTATTTATTTTATTAGATGTCCGGACATAATAGCTCCCGAAGTGAAGCGGGAGAAGATAGGCCTGCTGAAAGCAGTAATTCACCTGCCCTGGCCAGACAAGGTGAAGAACAGGCATCTCAAGGAGTGCCTGTGCAAGATCAGGATACGTTCTTCAGAACGTTAGACGCTATTCTGAAACGTCTTCAACCTCCTGCTCCACCAACTCAAAGAATGAATGTAGCAAAAGAGTTGAGAGGGTTAGGAGCTCCCGAATTTAAGGGAAAAGCAGAGGAAGGGCCGGTTGCGACGGATCTTTGGCTAAATGACTTGAAAACCATGTTGGATGGTCTCCACTGCTCTGAAGTGGAGAAGTTAGATGGAGTTGTCTGTTTACTGAGGGGTCAGGCGAGAATATGGTGGACGAACGTCACCATGAGGATGTCAAATGACCAATTGACTTGGTCTTTGTTCTTAGATGAATTTAAAAACAAGTACATTGGAGATCAATTTATTCGGCAGATGAAGCAGGAGTTTATGAACTTGAAACAGATGAACCACTTTGTATATGAGTATGAATGTGAGTTTAACAAGCTGAGTAGGTTTGCATATGAGCTTGTGCCTATTGAAAAAGAGGCTTGTGAATGGTTTGTGGAGGTCTTACACCCTAGATTGAAAGAGATGTTGATAGTATTGAATTTATCCTCGTTCCAAGAGGTGATCAATCGTGCCAAGGCTCTTGAAAGAGCTCAGAATGAAAGATTTGGGGACTCAAGAATTCAGACATCAAAGAGGACGGGTGCTTCTTCTAGCTCAGCACCACCAAAAAGAGGAAGAGACTCAGGATTTTGATCACAAGCTAGATCAGAATCAGTTGCATCATCTGCTAGGGGAACAAGTCAGGCAAGACCTAGACAGACACAGTCAGTGGGATCTGGTGTTGGGAGATCTAATCAGGGTCAAGTAAGACAGTGTCAGTACTGTGGGAAAAACCCATTTTGGGGCTTGTCGGATGGCTGCTGGGACTTGTTTTCGATGTGGAGATGTCGGACATTTTATCTGGGATTGTTCATTGATGGTTGGTGAGCCTGCACCATCTGAAAGATTTGGTTCTGCCTCACAGAGAGGATGAGGAAGAGGCAGATGAAGGAACCAGTCTGAATCCTCTACTCAACCTGAAGTTCGGTCAACCGCACGGGTGTACAATCTAAAGACAAGTGAAGACCGTGATGACCCTGATATTATAGCAGGTACTTTTCAGCTGTATGATAAATTAGTATTGGTACTGATTGATCCGGGCTCTAATTATTCTTACATTACAAGTAAGTTAGTAAAGGAATTAAGGATTTCTTTAGAAGCTACGAGTAATGAGATTATAGTAACGAATCCTTTAGGCCATAGTGCTCGGGTGAACAAAGTCTGTAAACGGTGTCCCATAAAGATTCAGGGAATTGAATTCCCTATTAATCTGATGGAATTACCCTTTGACGAGTTTGAAGTGATTCTGGTAATGGACTGGTTGTTCCGTTACTACGGGGATGTCAATTACAGATCGAAAAAGGTAACCCTGAAGAGTCCAAGAGGAACAGAAATAAGTATGATCAGTGAAAGATTTAATCCTTTAGCAAATGTAATATCAGTAATGTATACTAAGAAATTATTCCTACAAGGATGTCAGGGTTTTCTTGCAAATGTGATAGATACCAGAGCTAAAGAGAAATGATTGAATGAGATTTTAATAGTTCGGGAATTCCCTAATATTTTCCCTGTTGAGTTGCCAGGATTACCTCCAGATAGAGAGGTAGAATTTCAAATTGAAGTAATGTCGGGAACAGCTCCGATTGCAATGGAACCTTATCAGATGGCTCCGAAAGAATTGCAAGAGTTGTTAGAAAAGGGATTTATTCGACCAAGTGTGTCGCCTTGGGGAGCTCCGGTGTTATTTGTTAAGAAGAATGATGGATCAATGCGTCTCTGCATTGATTATCGACAGCTTAATAAGGTGACCATCAAGAATAAGTATCCTCTCCCGCGCATTGATGACTTGTTTGATCAATTAAAAGGAGCTTCGGTATTTTCAAAGATCGATCTACGTTCGGGGTATCACCAATTGAAGATTCAGGAGAAGGACATTCCAAATACAGCTTTCAGAACGAGATACGGTCACTATGAATTCATTGTAATGTCCTTCGGAGTAACGAATACACCTGCTGCTTTCATGGATCTCATGAACAGGATTTTTTAGCCCTATTTAGACCAGTTTGTTGTTGTCTTTATTGATGACATATTGGTGTACTCGAAATCCATTGAAGAGCACAGCGCACATCTGATGATCGTTTTGCAAATTCTTAGGGATAAGAAGCTTTATGCCAAATTATCCAAATGTGAATTTTGGTTAAATGAAGTAATTTTCTTGGGGCATGTGATCTCTGCAGATGGGATTCGGGTGGACCCTCAAAAGGTTAAAGCTATAATGGACTGGGAAGTTCCCAAGAATGTATCCGAAGTTCGGAGTTTCATTGGACTTGCCGGTTATTATCGAAGATTTGTTAAGAATTTTTCGATGATAGTGCTACCTTTAACGAAGCTGATGAGAAAGAATGCACCATTTCTTTGGACTTTTGAATGTCAAGAAAGTTTTGAAGCTTTAAAGAGGATTCTAACAGAAACTCCTATATTGGTTCAA